ACGTTCAATGAGCAGGTGGCTTCAAACATTTAGACGTATAATGGAGCCTCTTCCACATACACAGCGCACTGATGAGGTACAAAGTCCTTCTGCCTCAATCAGCACAGCAACACACAGCATCTCACACACTTCCATCTCCATCTCAGTCAACATTCAGTCACCTCAGTTCATCCCAACCATTATTCATCATTCATTTTCATACGCTTCATAAAAGAGCTAGAAGTTATGGGTAGCAGCATGAGAGCTGTAATCCACCACTCTATTCAAATTCAGTTTTAATGTAATTGAGGCTTCCTGGTAAAAATGACTGAGGTCTGAATTTTTGACCTTTTGAACTTATAACCGGCTAGAAGAACAATAATATCGTTGGAACTGCAGAATTGTATTTCTGTGAAAGCAGACTGCCTCATTTTTCTAATAAATCTACAAAAGATTTCTTTAGTTGCATTAGAATCAATAAAGATGAAAACATTAAAGGAGCAGTTGCAGTTAAACAGAATTCTTTTCATGCTATGTTTTGAGAGCCATTCTTTGCGATAGTCAGGGTCAGCGCTCTTCTCTTTCTGGAGTGCAGCTGATTATTATTTGTTCCTCAAGCCACTGTTGCTCGCACACACACTGCAAATCCCCTGGTTACCTACGTCAGGGGGGACAGGGTGCCTACTGAGGTGAAGCCACATATTTCCAGTAAAGTGTGTGTGTCTGTGTGTGTATGCATGTATGTTTGTGTGTGTTTGTGCACCCCAGGGACACAGCCGTCTCCATGGTGATGATGGGGCTTCTGAGCAGCAGGAACAGTGAAGAAGCTACTCAGGCCACACACACACACGCAGTCCTCTTTCACTTCAGCATCACTCCATCACTATGTGCTGCACACGCGCACACATACGCACACACACGCGCACACACGCACACACACACACACACACACAGCCACTCTAGTTTAATAAAATTGAGCTCTCTCTAATTTCAGGAAACATCCCATTTCCTCGTGTCTCCCCCTCTGCTGACAGCTCCTGAATCCCTAGAGAGAAGAGATTCCAGCTCTGTGTCTCTCTCTCACTCTCTCACTCTCTCTCTCTCTCACACACACACACACATATCAGCTCATCTCACATCAGTCTGAGCACACACTTCATGCTCTACAACGCTGGTTGCAAATTCTGGTCCTAGACACCCCCATCCCTGCGTCTTTGGTGTTATTCCTGACTGATGCAGCTCATCATAATTAATCAGACCTTCCTGAATTGAAGTGGGTGTGTTTGACCAGAAAAAACACTCAAATATCGTCACTGTCCAAAAGAAATATGCATCTCCAAAACAGTAACTTTGCAGGAGAAGGCCAAAATATTCTTAACTTTTAATGTAAGTTAATGAGATTTTATTCACATTAACATGGGAGCATTTCTATTGGTTCATTCATCATCATTCATCTCTTGGCTCATTCATCTTTTCACATAAGGTAAAGGAAAGTTATGATGGTAAAATGTAGGAAAATAAAAAATGGAAAAAAAGAAGGTATATCTTTCTTTTTTGGACAGCAATGATACATAAAACCCTGTTTCCAAAAAAGTTGAGACACTGTGCAAAATGTAAATAAAAACAGAATGCAATGATATGAAAATCATTTATATTTGCATACCCTATATTTAATTAATAATAATACAAAGACAACATATCAAATGTTGAAACATAAAATATATGCCCATTTTGAATTAGATGCCGGCAACACTTTAAAATTCAGGACCGGGGCATTTACAACTGTGTTGCTCACCTCTTCTTTTAACAAGACCAACCCCTGTAGTTTTGAAAGTAAAATGTTTTCCTATTCTTGCTTGATAAAGAATTTGCTCAACAGAATGTGCCAAATGTTTTCAATGGGTGACAGGTCTGGACTGCAGGCACCTGGGCTCCTTTACTCTGGTGCCATGCTGTTGTAATACATGCAGAATGTGGTTTGTCATTGTCTTGCTGAAATGAGCAAGGCCTTCCCTGAAAAAGACGTCATCTAGATGGCAGCATATGTTGCTCCAAAACCTGTATATATCGTTCAGCATTAATGATGCCTTCACAGATGTGTACGTCACCCATGCAATGTACTCTAATGCACCCCCATACTATCATGGATGCTGGCTTTTGAACTGTGCCCTGATAACAGGCTGGATAGTCCCTCTCCTCTTTAGCCAGGAGGATAATATTTCCAAAAAGAATTTCACATTTTGACTCGTCTGACTACAGGACACTATTCCACTTTGCCGTAGTCCATCTTAAATGAGCTCAGGCCCAGAGAAGGCGGCAGTGTTTCTGGATTCTCTTTGTAAATGGTTTCTTCGTATGAAAGAGTTTTTACTTGCATTTGTGGATGCAGTGATGAACTGTGTTCACAGACAGTGGCTTTTGGAACTGTTCCTGAGCCCATGCAGTGATTTCCACTAAAAACCTTGTCTGTTTTTAATGCAGTGCCTTCTGAGGGCCCGAACATCACTGCCAGCTAATATTGCTTTTGGTCTTGTCCCTTGCATGTACTATGTACTGTAGATGATGGAGAGTTTATTGCTATTTACATTGCCTGCGCCGTCTTTTCCCCATTTTTTTTTTAGCATTAGCATTTTTTGCATTCAAATACAATATATTTCTCAGTTTCAACATTGCATTCTGTTTTTACCTATATTTTGTCCCAACTTTTTTGGAAATGAGGTTATAATTTTTGGAGCATAAAAGCTAAAAGCAGCTTCCTCCTTTATTTATATTTTGTGCTTGGGACAAAATCCTTAGCTTGATGATGTAAGAAACTGTTATGAAGCACAGGCAGACTTGTCTATTTAAAATCAGTCAAGGAAAAGAAGTTTAAAATATTCTTTCTCAGGTAGTCAGAAAAATGTTGCCAGTCCTGGAGCATTAGGGTCATTTTTTCATGTTTGAGTGAGAACTTTTGCTGCTCTATTGTGTACCAGTTATAATTTGTCTATGCTCTTTATGTGTAAGAACAGAGCATTACAATATTCCGAATAAGAAAACAAAGCACCGCCACCCGACACATCTTTAAAAGCAGTAGGATAGAGGATCACCTTTACAGGTGGCCATCTGCAGCAGCACTAGCTTTACCACAGCCTTTACTCTATTTCAGTATGCTTTATCACACTCAAGCACAATGCAGGAAGACTGGCAAAATTCACTAAGCCCTGGGCAATGCCAGCTGCCACACAGTAGAAGATGTGCATGAGTGAGACAGAGTAAGCAGTCTGAAAGATTTCCTTGTGCTGTTAGTTATTTATCTTCTGTCCTCCTCCAGATATTCTAAATGACTGCCCTGAGTGGCTACAGGGCCAATCCAATCACCCCTTACCTTTTAGTATTTAATAGGATCAATTAGTGAGCTTAATTGGCCCAAAAGAGCAACTTGCACTGGAGAAGACGTGATGAATGATGGGATTTGTTGGCACATTCAGAAAAACCTTTTCCCTCATGGACTCTCTTTCTCTTGCTCTCTCACACATACACACAAACTCCTACTGAAGAGCTAACGAATGTGAGGTAATCTGCTGTATCAAACCCCTTTTAAGCACATTGAGCCACTGTTTCACTTGCAGGCACAGACAGACTTTCGCAGTTGGCACTAACGTAGACAAGTGTGTCATTTAATAAGACACAGGGATGAGAAATGTCAGGGATTATGAGGCTTCTGCATTTTATTGCTGTGCCACTTATCTCCAAACCTTTTTTTCTCCGAAATTTTCCAAATAAAGTTGATCATATAAATTATACATGCTGCTTGCTGTTGTTTGGCTGTTTTTGATATTCATGTATTGGACAGTGCGCTGTATGGATAGTTTACTAGAATAATCTGTACTATATACATCTGTACATATACTATAGTCATATATAGTTGTATGCAACTATACATGACTGTCGAACAGTCAAACACGTCCACGACATTTCTGCACATTTTAATGCTATTACTGTTTATTTGCTAGAAAAAAAACAATGTGTCAACATTTAAAACTGAGCAAATAAATAGTAATTATGCATTAAAATTTGCAGAAAAATGACACAATTAAGTTCCCTTCAGAGGGTGTGTTAACTTATTTTCGTTCAGAAAATCAACAAAACGTTCAAACTTTTGTGTAATATCTTATACATTTTGTTGTGCGAGTAAAATACAGGTACTGGCACAAACTATATTAATACATATTGTCTCTCTTGTGAAATTTGTCTTAGACATACAGCATGAACCCCCCCCCACACACACACACACACACCCCTTACCCCCTCACCCAACCCCTGGTGCTGCTACCCTGCCAAAACTCCCTGCCACCTCTTTGCTACCCCTGATATAACTTCCTGGATCAACTACCACTGTAGAGTTGCTGAGGGAACTCACACATCCCACACCTAATCACAGCACAATCACACACTCGCACACCCTCAGGAATCCCAGGCTTGCTGTTCCATTCTGATCTGCCTTTGCCCACCTCATCCACACACACTTACACATTAGCCTCTCAGAAGAGACCAGACTGAGCAATTCTATCTCATTCAAGACTTAATTACCATTTTAATTAGCATGAGCGCGAGAATTAATAATCCTTCAACATATGTCTTAGGGCAGAAAATGATAATCCCGTTAGCCAATTATATATTCTGCCACAGTCTGGGGCGCGACGTAGATCAGACTGGAACAGCCATAATGACCCACTGTGTGCTGTCACTGACGCTTACATTCATTTAACTGCACTTCAGTTCACATCATCTTCACAGACCTCACACCATTTAGCTTAGATTAATCACAGACAGAAAGACTGAAGCATGTATACAGTGGCTGAAGTGTTTTTCCTCCAGCTCTCATGATGTACAGACTTCCCTGAGAAGAAAAGCTGAATGAAGACATCTGATGCCTGTAAGGCCCAGGCTGTTTTCATGAAGTCTTCTTCCTCCACGTAAGCTCACACAAAACAGAGCAGTCATTCATAACCCACTTAAAAACACACAGACGCTCCACGTTTCTTAAATAATGTTACCTTTTTTATTGCATGTGGCTATTCAGAATCATTACAGTTTCTAAAGCAATGCTAACTACACTAAGTTTAAATTATCTCTTAATAGCATCACAATGCGCAATATATGAAATATGTACAATGGAAGACACAGCAAGGAAAAAAAATCAACCAGATCATCAGAATAAGAACACTGCTGAAAATCACTGCTAAGATCCAATAGCAAAAACAGAAAGTCTTCGTTTTTTTTTTTCAAGTTGGCAGAAAAAAATGTGTACAGCAAAAATCCTTTTAAAGGTTTTAACAAACATTATGAACACAGTATTTATACATTTGGTTTCTTTCTGTAAACTAATTTGTTTTAAAAATGTAAATATTGCATATGCCATTTGTGAATTGTACCTATGTAGCTAGATTTTTTTCTCTCATAGTATCAAGTATTATTCAATTAGATCTTCTGTTCTCTCTTTCATTTAATGTTACAGCATTAGAAAATATTTCCTTAGTGGCGTTTTATCGTACAGTGTGCATACTCTTACAAACCTACAGAAAAATTAGAAAAAAGAAAACTTCCAGGCCAAACGTTCGGCGTCTGGTGAGTACCTTCATTAGTGCTTTAACTGGTTGGGGAAATTCATTCAAATGTATACTGCTTATGTACAAAAAACATAAAAGATTTATCTTTAACTTAAAAATGTTCCAAGATCACAACTGCACATATCTTTATTTACGTCTCTATGTACATTATTTACAGATTTTTAGGCATTTCCGTATGCTTAAAAAGAGTCGTGCGTCTATGTTTTTTCGGTTTGCTTGTTTGTTTCGTCTACTTCGTTTTGTGTCCGTCTTGTTTTGGTGGGGTTTTGTTTCGCTTTGTCCGTGCTTTGCTCGTGGGGGAGCGCCAGAATGCTCTACATTCAAACGTGTCTTGTGTTTACAATCTAAGGAGTTTGTAAGTGCAAGACAAAGCATTGGTACTGACACTGTGTCCTCGTCTGACACTACGGAGCAGCAGTGATGGTCTGGTCTAAAGCCTCTGGAGACGTTCCCTGAAAACGCGTCACTCCAATTCAACCGCCTGCTCCACTAGAACACCTCAGAGCCGCTCAGGTCCTGCTGGAGGCTCGTCGGTGGAGCAGACGCTGAATAAAATAAAATGAAAAAAACAACAAAAAAAAAAACATCCAGCCAACTGTGCTGATCTAAGGCAAAAGGAAGGCTGCGGTTTCAGAGTGAGGATATTAGTGGTGAATGAAATGTGGGGCAGAGTCGGTGGAGGCTTCCAGGACATCAAGAATCAGAGGTGGTGGGTGCAGGTGTGCCTAGGCTTCTCCATGTCGTGTTCTCAAAGACTAAGGTGCACACAGTTTGAGCGTGTCTCGAGTGTGCATGATGCAGGTATCTGTTTCTGTCTGGCTGGCTTCGTTCCAAGCTAACACTCCTTTCTCTGGAAGCCTGCTTTGCATATGTGTGCATGTGAAAGGCAGCGTTGCGCTGCTCCTCCTGACATTTACCAGCACTGATAAATAGAATTATATTAAAACCCTTTAAATATCTGTGTAATACTTAAAATAATAATAATAATAATAATAATAATAATAATAATAATATAAGAAATCTTTGATTGCAGAGGAAGGTCACTGTCGTCCACGGTGGGCTAAAACCCCACACCTCTACTGTACTTACAGACATTCAGGTTCAGTTTCCATGGCAAGCGGTCTATCTTTGATACTCTGCGAATAAGTGTAGGTCCATAAACAAATGTCCTCAAAGAAAACACTGTTTGACAGTACAGTCAGTAAGGCTTTGGATTGGCATTTTTTTGTCTTACGAAAACATTCAGTACTGAAAATAAATAGTTTTTTTTTCAATATATATTTTTTCATATGCAAGTCAAAACCTGGCTTAATCTGAGGTAGGGTTTCTTTTTTCAAGCAACTGGTTCTTTCAGTTGGTTGTTATGAAGATGTTGATGAAATGCCACCTTGGTGCAGTGCTGCAAGCATCCATACACGGCACGCGCGCACACACACAAAACACGCATTATACTGCACACATATAAATAAATAAATACGTACCACGTGCAACAAATGTGTGACTGTGTGTGTGGTTGTGTGTGCGTACGTATGCAAGAAGGTATGTGTTCAGATGTTACACTCCAGGTTTGGTTCACAGATTTTTAGGGTGAGGGGACACTGGCCTCTCTTAAAGTCCAGAGCACTTAACAAAACCAGTGGGAAATAAAATGAGAAGAGTAGAAACTACAAAGTCCATAAGGAGGGGCATCTGGAGTGACAACCAGATAGATGTAGAGTCCAGCCTTTGTGTTTGTGGGAGTTGTAGTTTTTCGGAGCAGCAGATAGAAGGGAGCTGGTCAGTGGGGCACACAACGGGCGGGAGGGGCCGGAGGTCAAGTGTCCTCGTTGCCAAGATGATGGCCATTTGAATGCATCCGGGGTTCAAAGGTCAGGGGATACGAAGCAACAGCAGGAGCGCTGTCCATCTGTCTGAATGGAGGGGACGACACGGACGTGCAGTCTGGCTCTGTTTAGTCTGGGGAGGAGAGAAAGGAAAAGAGAAAAGGAGAGAGAGAGAGAGAGAGAGAGAGAGAGAGAGAGAGAGAGAGAGAGAGGCAACAGATTAATGTGATGACCATAAACACATCCAGACACAGACAGAGACATTCCCCCACTTCTCTTGGGCCAAAAAACCACAGCAGGACAAAACAAGCAATAAAACAACATGCTTGTCTGCTGAGAACAATAGTGATGCAACACCCAGAACATGAGAAAGGCTGTGCGACTAACATGTGAGTAATTACAAAAAAGATATAAAAAGTAGTCCATAAATGGCATGAACTAGATGAGTATGATGTGTCAATCATCTAGTTTATGCCATTTATGGTCTACTTTTTCTACTTTTTTTGTAATTAGTCACATATTGTTCACTCTTTTCTATGTATATATGCCTAAGTTTTCCACAAGTGTCTCTAAGTGATTTCTATCTAAGAAAAGGTTACACACTCTGTCTCTCTCTCCTCTCTCTCCTCAATATCTCTCTCTCAGTCTCTCCTTTTACCAAGTAAGGAATGTGTGTGCCTTTGCTAGGAGCAACTGAAGTGGCAGGTGCTGTGAGAGAACACAGACGCTGGCATTTAGCATTGTGCAGCTGACGGTGCGAGCTTTCCCATGTTTCATAAACACTGGGACACAACACACACCCACTTTCTCAGGCACACGCACTCACGAGAGAACACACATTCACAGACACACCCACATAATCAAAGACAGTTTCTCTGACTCTCTCTGAGACACGGCAAAACTGTATCCGTAACATGAGCCCGAGCGTTATTCATCCTTAGCGGATGCAGTTATAACAAAAGCATGTTGCAATTTGAATTTTTTTACAGCTCAGACACAGCAGAGTCCATACATCATATTTGAACATGATCGGATTAGGGTATTGTGGTGGGTACAGTCCTGCTTTCGTTGAATATGTCGAATGTAAATTACATTCATCGAACGTTGCTTAGCACACAGTACAAAGCACAGCTATACCACATAGAATGTGTTGCAGTGAGAGTGCTGGTAATCATCAAGCTCAAGTTCATATACATTTAATGGAATAAACTTGAACTAACATCATTTAGTGAATTTGCCCCATTTGGTATCAGCTAACTCTCAAATAAACAGACAAATGCTAATTGTCTGTTACCTCAGCTAGCATGACTAGCCTGGGCACTATTTCACCTTGTAACTTTTGGCGTGAAAATAATGAGTCTGAGGAGTTAAAGATTTCAGACTGACTGCCTTTCTCTGTGTAAATTTCAAGTCACGTGTCAGTTTTTTGGTCTTGCTCTGGGTTTAATGTAATGTAGTAACAGCAAAATGCTATTAAAATGCTAAAATGCTATAAAATCCTTGCATGCTGTGGTGCTCAGAGCAGTTCTGGAGGCCACAGAGTAATGAATACTAGAGGTGGTGCGTGCACCTTCCTTAAAAGCAATGGTTAATGGAAAACACATATTTATTTCTCTAAAAAAAGATGGTATTAATGATAATATAGCACTGATATTTATTGTGTAATGGCCACTCCTGTTTTGCAACAAACTCCTGTTTTACAACAAACTCCTTCAACTGAAGTCATGAAGTTAAAGCTCACAATGCACACAGAAATATAATTATGGGGGTTAAATATAAGATGTTAACGGATATGATCTATGAATATGTAACTGATTTAGGTACTTAATAACATACACAATTTGAAAATGCCTCGTGCCATTTACATTGTATGAACTGTTTATAATGAATAAAACTTGCTACAATAACGCATTAAAAGTTAACAGGCTTTTTCATTCTTCTTTTAAAATAACTATTTTCGAGATATGAGGTTTTTGTTCCGACAGCAACGATATGCTCTTTCTCTGACAGTGTGTGCCTGAGTCTTTGGTGTGGGGAGGGGAGCTGGCCTGATCTTTGACCCTGTGTACTTGTTTGTGAGGTTTCATTAGCATGAGGGCCTCGTGCAAGGCGGAAGTATCCATTCCCCCGGACCCCCCGTGCTCCCCCCACCCCCAACAGTATTTTTTTTCATCTAGAACAAGAGCTGTTTTCACTGAGCTGGACTCTGACACACTCCACAACCCCTCGATTCAACGCCTTCGGCTATACGGAGGGCCACAATCTCAGCTATTATCTTGCCCGCCCGCATGCTGTCTACACACTTCTGCATGAAAGCCCAGCATCACAACATCCACACACTGCAGGCCAGGCCACAGAGGAACTGCCTGTACTGCCTCAGTAATAACTACCATTAAGCCCACCAGGACGGCACAAACACACATCCAGTTGAGCAATCAGTCTGGACAAAGTGTTCAGATGAGGGTGGAGATGGAGGAGTTCAGCAGGAAGAAATGGCCTCATTCGTTCCTCCTCATCTGACCGTCTACTCCCCCAGTTCCCTCTTTCTCTCACTAGGAGCCCCCACTAACTGTCACTGGGCTTCTAGTAAAGAGGGTGACTGATGTGTTTGCTAATAGCAAGGCCAGAAGAGAGGGTGTGAGAAACTGAGAGGGACGTCTCTCATTTGTTTCATTGTTTACCACTAGCGTGGAAAATATCATTAGTAAGAATGTTTCCCTTTCTGAGCTTGAGCTGTATTTACATCATACATCATGGTCAGCTGTTGTTTAATTTCAAGGTAAAAATCAGCCATTTCTGCATTTTAATCCATTCTTCTTCTTTAACGTGTTGTTGCATTTGTTTTGACATGTAAAGAATTTGATTTAAAAAAGACAAAAAAGTTATATTCTTCAGTCGTCTTTAAGGGTGCATCAACAGAGTATTATATTGCATTGCACCATATTATATTGTAATGTAATCTAACTGTAACATACCAAAACATACTGTTACATATCGTAACATATCATACTGTGGGTTAGCTCAGGGCTAACATACTACTTTATAGCTAGCATATTAGCTCACAGCTGCAGTTTTTTAGACACTTTATTTTTGCTGTATTGAAAATGCATTGAATCGAGACACCACCATACTGTATGGACACTAATTATGAATTTTTACACCCCTAGTTGCCTTAATTGTTACTCTCGTGAATTCAATCAATAATAAGGTCTTAGTGATCTGAATTCTTAATTCAATAAATGAAGAATTGTGCTTCTTCTAGATAGTGATAGGAAACACAGCAGCATAGTAATAAAGGCGACACCGCCAAAGTCTCTGAATGTACTGCTGACGACACATTACATAAGGCCTGACTACCTTCATGTGTGGCCACATAAGGACAACAGCAAACCACAGAGCAGAGAAACAAGATATCTAAACATGTAACAAGCAGCAGTGAAATACCACCCGGCCTCAACTGACTCAAAAAGAGGATGACTCTCATCTTGGGATAGACTGATAAGCATCCTGACACTGACCACACCGTGGCAGGTGGTCTTGTTTTAGTCTTCCTTATAAATAGCCATGAGCCCTAACACGCACGCATGCACACAAACACACATATAGACACGCTCGCACTACTGACGTCACGGAACAAGAGTCATATGAGTGCCGGTGGCCTGTCTGTTTTTTCTGTCGTGTGTGTGGTGGAGGTGGTGGTGGGGGGCAGGTCAGGAGGGCAGTTTGAATTTCACAGAGCTAATTAAGCAAAAGGAAGCCCAGCAATTCCGCGGATGCCCCATTCCGCTCCAGAGAGGCGGAAAAAGCAGCGAGGCAGAGGGGCGAGAGGGGGTGAGAGAGATGAGGTCATGGGACCACTCCGCGGAAAAACAGCAAAGAGTCGGTCAGGGCTGCTGAGAGTGGGACAGAGAGGAGAAAGAATGAGAACAGCGAAGAAGTATCCATTACCTGTGTTTTAAATACTCCATAACTCACTCTAGCCGTCTCTCCCTCTTTCTCTCACTCTCGCTCTCTCTCTCTCTTTTACTCCCTCTCTTTCTCTCTCTCTTTCTTCTCTTTTATGTTCTGTGTCAAGTACGTACAACAGCAACAACAATAATAATAATAATGAAAATAATTATAGTAGTAATAATCATCATCATCATTTCTCTCTTTCTTTCTTGTTAGCATTCGCTGTTGTCTCCTGACCCTGTCCAATCTGTGGAGCTTCTAGCCTAGCCAAGCTGTGTGAGTTCACACATGTCTCATTATGAATATGCTGAATAGAGAGGATTTCAAGGGGAGGTGGTGAAAGGAGGAGGGGTATGTGTGTGTGAGTGGGTGGGGGGGTTCAGGACAGTCTGCCACCCCCCTTGAATTTTGATATAAAGGACTCTGTTTTTATAACATCACACAGACACTGCAAGGTAAAAAGTGCAACACTTTAAATTCTTTCAATTCAATTCAGGCACATATGTGAAGTACAGGCCCCCAAAATCTAACATCACCAAGTCACCAGTCAGTGGATCCAATGACCTATTTCTATTACCCCACAATACACTCTATCACCATAAGTCACCAGCCAGTGAACCCAATGCCCCTAATCCCCCTCCCCCTCCCCAAGAAATACCCCTCTCACACTCGTGCTCTCGTTTCACAGCTCATTTTTTATTTATTTCACATGAGCTAAAATTAGCCCCATGCACTTAGGCCAGAAGGGCCACCTGTCTCACACACATACGCACATGGATTTAACACACTTCGACACACAATTGCTCACCCACACACAAGCTCTCTCACACATACACACTCAGTTACACAGACAGATACATACAGTATCGGGAGCGGTGCTGTAAACATGCTACTTATATATTTATCTACATCTATTCCACATCAAATTCCACAGCACGTGTAGGGGGTAAACTGGCAATTTGTGGGTATAGGCAGGGTAGAAGGGTGTTAAAATAAGAAAACAGTCTGAGTCAATCAGAACAAGGTCAATCAGAGTGGTAGATGTGAAATGCACCAAGTCAGAATTGTTCACAGTGGTGGTGATAGGAACCTGATGTCTGAAGCGAATGCTTCTAAGAAACTTTTCACAGAAAGATATTGAATGAAATGGTTACAGATATGCTGCCTGATGTCTGAGACATT